GAGAGAGAGAGAGAGAGAGAGAGAGAGAGAGAGAGAGAGAGAGAGAGACAGACAGAGCGAGAGAGAGAGAGGACATACCTGGTGATATGCACGAATAGCCATGAGACCTGCATACTCTCCTGCTGCTCCAGCATTTGGCTGCAACGACACTGAGTCGAACCCTGTAATCTCACAGAGCATGGTCGCCAGGTCTTTAAACATTTCCTGCAACAATCATAATCAAAGGGCAGAAGAAAAGGTAAACAATAGGAGCACAATTGGCTGCACAACCCAATTGAATTTAAATTTTAAATACAGACGAACAAATGCATGCAAGCACACAGCTCTCGACAAATGGATGAATATTTAACACACATGGATGAGTGGGTGGGTGGGCAGATGGACGGACCGCTGAACAACCGAATGAATGAAGAAATGCAGGAATGCAAAGGAAAGAAAAAGCGAGCACAGATGAATGAATGAATCAATCAATCAACCAATCAACCTATCAACCAACCAATCCAATAATCAATCAATCAACCAATTCAATACATTAGCCAGTCATTCGAGCAAAGTGCGCCAAGTTGTAATAACCAAACCGACGCACCTCATATCCTTTCGCCTGGTCCACAGGAGCGAAGGGATGAATGTTGGCCAGCTCCGGCCAAGTGATGGGTATCATCTCCGACGTAGCATTCAGCTTCATTGTACAGGATCCCAAGGCAATCATACTGTGGCATAGCGACAAGTCCTTTGACTGCAGCTTGCTCAAGTACCGCAGCATCTCATGTTCCGAATGGTACCTGCATATTCACATTTGGGGTTGACCAATCAATGTGAGAAAAAAAAAAAGAGGTTGAAAAAAAAAGAAAGAGAGAAACTTGAGAAAGTTTGAGACACCTCCGAAAAAGGGTAACTAAACTTAGTCTTGAGGTTATGCGATTGATGTCCAACAAAACTTACAAAAGTGAAATAAATTTATAAAACTTAAAATCAGTCTTCAATGACTCTTCATGTGATATTAATATCATTATAATATCATTATAATATCATTATTAATATCATTATTAATATATTATCATGTTATTGATGTCTGAGAAAGGTGGGTTGAAAGTACTGAGTTTATGTGATATTAAATTTTAATTATTTTATTAATATATTAAATTATTCCGTTGGAGCAACTCGACAAGGAACTGCGGGAAGAGAATCACAGTCATCCAGCTGGGTTTAGAAATTCTCTGGGAACTTGGGAAGGTGGTGGTGTGACAAATAACATTTTGCTATTCAAAATTCAAATCCAGTGGATCATTGAAATTCATTGAAGTTGACATACATACTCATTAGGCTCTGGGTTGGAGCCCATGGGACGGGTTCAAACCGCCAGTACACTGCCCCAGCCAACATAAAAGATGAATGGATCACTAAAAAAAAAAAAAAAAAAATGGATCAAGGGATTTCAGAAGCTCGTGACCACCAGACCACAATGGCTGGAGGAGAGCCAAAAAACGAAAAACGTGCGCCGCTGGCGGTTCAGCAAAAAGCTTGGCACGGAGTGCGAGCCCCGCCAAGCCTGCGTGTACTGGCGGTTTAATGAAATTGCCACATTGCTATGTCACCTCACCGCATAATTGGATTGGTGTGAAACACTGCTTTCTAGCATTGTTAGGCACTGTTAGCCTGTTCATAATTTTTCAAACAGCCTGACAACAACTAACGCCAGACCAAACTACGAGCAAAACGAAAACAATAGGAAACAGCACCCATAAGACAGAAAAAAAAGGGAAAAGAGAATGAGAGAGAGAAAGAGAAACGTAACAGTAACGTTTTCTTGATTTGAACCGAAACCTCGATGAACAAAGACTTCAAAACGTTAATAAAACGCATAATACGGGGAGCCCCTTGTGCTTGAGTGTTTCAGGCGGGGCGGGAGGGGGGGGGGGGGGGGGGGGGGGGGGGGGGGGGAGGAGGGAGAGGGAGGAAGGGGAAAGGCTGAAGATGGGAACGATCTTTCATGGCATCGGTTGAAGATGGGGAGGATCTTTCATGACATCTTCTAGTATTCAAAATATGACAATGCAGATCATTTTTTCAGATAATGCTGACACTCAAAAATGAAATGTGAGGCACAGCTTTAAAAAAAAAAAAAAAAAAAAAAAGTTCTCGACACGTTCTGAAAGCCCGGTTACCTTTTATTTGCTTTTTTAGTTCTAAAAATTCTTTATCTTTCTCTTCCCGCTCATCTTTTTTGAACTCCGATGGCCTCCCTTTTCTTGTCCACCTTCTCTGTTGGAACTGAAACACCGAACCCCTTTTGCTTATCCGGCATCACAATACCTCATAGGCCTGCTTAATAAGGTATGCACTCTCTTTATGGAGTTGAACATGAAGAAGGCCTCCACCTTCGTAAAAGCATTAAAAAAAAAAAAAGTTAAGCAACAAACCGATTTTTTTTATATAAATACTTACATGTTGAAGATGGGGTGCGTGAGGTACTTGCTCTGGCGGACGAAGTTGGATGGCAAAGTGGTATCTACTGCCGCGGCGAGAGACTCTGCCGTGAAAGGAGCCTGCCAAAATGAAGACGATGACCAAACCGATAAAGGATGAATGAATAAGACACTCACGGGGATATATAGTACATACAAAATGAAGCAGTGCAACAATCCATTTGTAAGCTCACACAGATTTGGAAACTGAAAAAAAAAGGAAAACAAAATGGAAAAAAAAGGAACACCTGCGGCTGCAGGGGGCGGGGGTTGATTTCTGAATAGGTGAAAACTCTAAATTCAAGTAGTAAATTGCAGTTTTGTCTTGGAGGCAGTTTGGAACTTTGGAATGCAGAAAAAAAAGCAAAAATACTAAAATAGTAAAATACTAAAATACCTTCTTCTTCTTTTTCTTCTTCTTCTTCTTCTTCTTCTTTTTTTTTTTTTTTTTGTCCATCTCTTAACTACGGCCCTCTGAGAATGACGGCCCACCCTTGCCTTCACCAGAAAAGCGCTCTATACAAACAACGGCGCCTGCTTTATTGCCTTTCCAAAGACCGTGCGGGGCTGACATGGCAGTGTCTTTTTTATTTGCCTGTTCGGAATTCAATCTTCATTTGGCAGTAGTTGACTCAACAAGAAGAATCTCACAGATATATACCTAGTCATCTTTTTTTTTTTTTTTTTTTTTTTTTTTTTTTTTTTTAATGTGGGGCGACCGACCACGGATCAGATATTGAACTGCTCAGAACAGATACTACACTTGATCTTAGCCTAGTTGTCTCAATGACCCTAAACCCTAAACCCTCGATAGAGTTGCAGAGTGAGAATCCTTTTGGCCTCTTGGATTTACTCTTGCTCCTCACCCCACCATGTCCAAGTTAAACTTCATTCTGCTGAATCTGATGGCATCAGCCAAAACACTCAAAACATCATAATAGGTGCATTACAGAAAATATTTAAAACTTCAGCCCCCAGGGTTCAACTGGGCATTTTCACACCCAGTAGGCATCTTTAAAAACAGTGATGATGATGATGATGATGATGATGATGATGATGATGATCGCAACGGTGATGGTGGAATGATGGTGATGATGATGATGATGACGATGATGTATTCTCTATTGCACGGTCCTGCCCAAGTGGTGGTGGAATGATGATGATGATGATCATGATGATTCCTTCATCACCCACCCCTCCCTCCTCGCCCATCCTCCCAACCCACCCCTCCTCGACTAGATTTTGCTAACCACTTAGAAAATATGAAAGAGCCTGGATTCGAGAAGAACTTGGGTGGGCGCAAAGATGGCCTGCCACCTAAAAAGAAGAAGACAAAAAAAAGGGCGAAACTTTTTGCATACCCGGGGTAGTCTGGGTGGCCGGACAGCCAGGCAACCTGCACAGGTGCCCAGCTGTTTGTTCTCCTGTTTTCTTTCTGTCCTTTTTTCACAAATATTAATAAAGACTTTAAACAGACACAAATGTTCTCTATATAAAAAGGATGGCATAATTGCCATGTGCGATGAGTTGAAACTTGAAACTTTGAAGGTCCATTAAAAAAAAAAAAAAAAACTTGATACGTGTGCTTCCCTTAGCCTTGCCTCTTCTCTTTTTCTGCATGACATGACTACTGAGCTTGCTGTAGCATATCACATCACATCAGACATCACACTTCACATCACATCACATCACATCACATCAGACATCACACTTCACTTCACATCACACTTCACATCACATCCCCCAGGTTTGAACTTTAAAGTTTAAACCAATGCTCGACCATTTTGGAAATGGTGATTCTGATTCTTGATTAGATTGTGCGCAAGTTTCCTGCAGTTGCAAAAAGGCAAAAGGACAAGGATAGAAAACGAAGGCAAGGAGAACAAGAGGTAAGAAAGCAAACACATCACTCACCGCCTTGCCGGAGAAGGCAGCAAACAGATCATCCACGTCACTTAGTTTCGTCGTCTCGTCAAAAGCAACCGTGATCTGCAGAAAGACATAGCAAAATTAAAGATACAACCAAAACAACAAAAGATTATTACTGGGCCACAAGCTCGGCTGCCCGGGCTGCCTCTGGCTGCCCAGGTGGCTCAGCCAGACCAGGTCTGGACAAGGTCCCGGCCAAGGTCCCAAGCAGACCCAGCACACACAAATCTGCCAAAAAAACTATGCTGTGCAGAATTGTGCTATGATCCGACTCAATTGACTCTGGTTACGCAATCATGCAAGCTCCCAAAGTTCACACCACACTAGCAAAGCGAAGTAACGAGAGAGGTATTATTCCAAAGTACAAAATTGTTGCAATGGCCAAACACAAATATCATGCAGCTATGGGCGCCAACCCAAACACACTCAGGAATGTCATTTCCCTCTCTCTCTCTCTCTCTCTCTCTCTCTCTCTC